ACGGTACATGCGATACCCTTTTGCATGGTGATAGAGGGATATTTATAGGTGGGGAAGATGCCCAGCTCACATAGGAGAGAGAGCCGGGTCAACTCTCCTCACGGGGTGCCAGGGGTAGCTGACATTGCTGTGGCGGCAACAATGTAGTCTCTGCTAGGATGGTGGCAGTCACTGCTGCTACCCTTGTAGAAGGGAAGTTTCCATTTATGGGGTATAGGGAGACCATACAATGGAGTGGGCATCCTAAGGTAAGACATTTTGGTATTATGGTGTCTCACCTTGGAGATACTGTCTCACGTAGGACAAAAGGGAAGGAGGGTTAGTAGCCTCTGGTCAGCAGGGCTAACATGGACGCAGGGAGGGGGTTTAGGCATGTCTTATTGGGTCACCTAGATATGGGCCATCCAGAACAGAACCCAAATTGAAATAAGTTAGCTTAAGGTGCTTTATTGGGATCTGCTCTTTAAGCCATTGTTATTTGTAAGTAACATGATCAAATATGCTATATTACCCTAATGCAAAGATAGAGAAGTTTACTTATCCCCAAAAAACAAAAGATAGAGAAGATCAAACTCATTTTTCTTTATTTCTCTTTAAGAAGGAAAAAAGGGAAAAACTAATATTGTGTAATTAGAATGATAAGTTTTAGGAATTACTTTGATTTGTAAATTAATTTTTATTAGAAAATTATAAAATATAATTGATTTGACCGGTCTAAGACAGGATGGGCCAAATCACACGCGATTGAAGGTTATAAGCCTTAGATCTGTAACAAGTTAGTCTGGTTCTATGGAGGAATGAGCTTCTTCTTGATTTAGTTGTGTTGTGACTCTGGCCAATGGAAGTAGTTGAGAGTACCTGCAAAGACACTTTGACACTCAAGTTAGTATCAATGCGAGGTGTATATAGTTTAATTCAGAGATATGTACCTGGGATTGTTCCCTCTATATTTGTAGTGTACTTTGTGCCATCCTTTGTAGGTGGTATCTCTTCTTATTGGTAATTTAGGGTTGCTGCCCTCTGTCACAATTATTATTCTGCGGGCTATTCCTTGATGAATAAGTCTAGATGCCAAGCTGTTTTCGTAGAGTGGTGGCAAGTTGGAGCTCCTCATTCTCACTGGTTCTCATGCGCGGTGGACCTTATGGAATATTTGTGTCTTTTCTTAGTCCTTAAGTTTTTCCTTGTGGCTAAGTATAATGGTTCGCACAATAAGTCTGTTCTGCGCAAGGACTTGATATAACATTTTCTATAAATTTGCTAGCAAAAAATAATGCTACGGCCACACGTACACATCAGAACGGAATAAAAAATAATATGCAAAATACTTGATATGAGATTATTCTCTCAAATGGTTCAAAGTTTTGTATTAATTTAATATGCAAATATTGGGTATTTATTAGACCCACAAAAAGCGCGGCCACAAATTCCTGGGGATCAAGAAAATCAACATTGATGACAACATCTTTGAACCATGCAGAATCAATTGCACTATATGAAGTATAAAAATTGGTGATTTTCTCCTTAAGGACATGTATTTTATGAAAAAGAAAGAATAATAATTGGTGATATTCTCCTACTTTCTTTAGAGTTCACGCTTTAATCTTATTTATATTTTGTCTCTTTATTTCATACTTTCTCAATTTTCTCTCTTAGTTTTATAAAAAGAGGAGCTTCTTTTAAGATTTACTTAACCTTTTCTTGAATTCTCATATTATTATTTTCAATTATGTCTTTATTCCAAAATTGTATTTATAAATTTTATTTTCTAACCTAATGATAAATCATGTGAACTCCTCCTCCTTTCCAAAATGCAGAGAACACTCCCAAGAAGAATGAATAGATTATATTTTATTCATTCAGGGATCTATTTTTTTTGGCTTTTTGACCCTTTTTATCCCTCATTAATTAATTAATAACCATTTTGTCCCTTATTGAAAACTATCTACCAATCTGCCCCTCTTTAATTGATTAACATGAATATTTAATCGATTAAAAGGTCATCGAGATTTAATCGATTAAATCTCCCTATTTAATCGATTAAATCTCCTCCGATTTAAGCGAGGTAGAGAAAAGACCATTGCAAGTGCAGATACTCCAAAACCTCATCCCCAACCCAACCCACATTCATCTGTATCCATACTAACACTAAGGAAGCAATCATTGCACCAATATTAATTGAGAAGTAAAACACCAATTGAAGAAAGAGCTCATCTTTATCCTCTCAGTTTCATGGTTGTCATCAAATTGGAAGATAGTTTTTAGCGAGCAGAACTATCTCGTAAACGACAAAACTATTTGGGTTGAACACCATAAGGCAGGTGAAAACTGAAAACATATAATACAAGGCAAAATGAAAGATTACTTCTGCTCAAATACTATGGACTATTCAATTTTTCTTTCTTCCCCTTTTGCGAATCGCTCAAATACTAATCTTGAAGTCATTTCTTCTGCTAAGCTGTTGGATACGTTGTCGCTTACGAAATAATACAAGACAAAATGAAAGATCACCTGTAATTAGGGTTCTGCTCTGGTGGGAGAGACAATGACTGAACACATACGGGACAAGGAGGATCAACAGGATTGAATGCAGTGGCGGACCCAGAAAATGATACAAACGGGGGGGGGGGGGGGGCAAAAATTTAACAAATCCAACTTATAGAATTTTAAATAAAATATAATTTAACAAGTATACTAAATTGACGAATTTAACATAAATTACTTCATTGCCATGTGCCATGTCAACAATGAAAAGTAAGAGAATCACAATCTTAAACTAAAAAACATGTACAGCAGTCTCAAGAGATGCACCCATTAAATAATTTTAATAACAAATATAATCACATAACAAAAATAAATCCAAAAAAGAAGGGGAAACTCATAGAACCCAAATTAGGCGAGCACCTAAAACTAACATCATAAAGTTTCATAATGCCCACATCACTACAGACCCATATACTTCAGTTATCAAGCACCATAAAGCTAAACAAACAAATTCCAAAAATTATTGCAAACTATAATTATTTTATACCCATTTTTTTCTTTCACTTTCTGTTGGTTTTTGAGCATTCGAACAACATGAAACTACAAAAAGATCAAAACTTTACAAAGAGAAAGTGAAAATACTCACAACAGGAAAATAGGTATCAAGCTTCTTTCTCATGCTAACAGATTTTGGGTATCAAATGAAGCAAAAGAAGGAGACTCAGAAAGTGAAGTCGAAAGCTTTGAACAAAAAGACTGTACTGATCATCAACAAGATGAAATTAATGCAACTCATTTCAGATCCAAAGGGCACACAATACTAGTTTTGCTAAAGTAACCCACCAGTTATGAAAAATGAAATATACTATATATTTTTTTGGGAATGTAGACATTTTTTCAGATTTTAGAGGGGGGCAGCCGCCCATGCACGTCCCCCATGTAGGTCCGCCCTTGATTGAATGATTGCTTTGCTCGCTTAAATCTGGAGAGATTTAATCGATTAAATAGAGAGATTTAATCGATTAAATCTCGAGTTAATTATTTTTTTCAGTTTTGACCATTTAATCGATTAAATATTCAAGTTAATCGATTAAAGAGGGGCAGATTGGTAGATAGTTTTCAATAAGGGGCAAAATGATTATTAATTAATTAATGAGGGGCATGCTACATTCTCCTTTAAAGTTTTCAACTTTAAAATTTTTGTGTTTATCTCTATGATATTTGTATTTATCTAAATAATAGGAGTTTCTAATACTCTTTAATAATTTTAATTAGAAACAGAGTTCATGAAAATTATTTTACCAAACAACTTACTTTTAATTTTAAAGTAACTTTTAAATTAAAAATTATATTTAATCACAAACAACTTTTAATTTTATTTTTTAAATTTTTATTTTTAATTTTAGCTTAAAAATAACTCTTAATTTAAAAAAATATATCAAACATGGTCTACATTTTTCTTTACACCAACAAAGTGGAATAAATTCAACTCTTATTATTATAGCACCGAATATTGTATTTAATATTTAATTCATATAAAATCTTTTTTTTAAGATATTTCAATCAGTTCATCGCTTTGTGATTAGTCCGTTCGGGACGGGTTCCAGGATTAAAGCTTTAAATCTCTCTCAAAAATAATACTGAAAGAATCGAACACATACTCTCATCCTCATGTGTTTAGTTTCCTGGCGCCAACTGAACTATTATCATTAAATAAAAACCTTATCTTAAAAATAGTTTTTGAGAAATTATTTTAAATCATTATTCACTTAATTATGATGTTATCCCCCAGCAAACACTAGTTTATAAAATTAAGTTCTTATAAAATATTTTTACAAAATTTAGTAAAAAAGCGCATTTAATGTAGCTATACAATAATTAACCATTTCACGCTATAATTTATATCATAACATAATTGTATTAACATAACAAATTTGATAGGTTTTGCATCAAGATTCTCTTATTAGTACGTCACACATAATCTTAGTGTTAATCTTATTAATGTTAATAGTTCATCTCTCCTAAATTCAAAATAAATAAATAAATAAATAAACTTACTTGTCCATAGTACCATCTGTTCATATTTATTTTCCTCTTTTCATAGTCCATCCAATAGAAAGTAAGAATATCGACGGAGGTGTGTGGTGAGGGCAGAGCAAAGTATTCTTTCGTCTTTTACTAAAGAAAGTAAAAGGGTTTATCATCTATCATTTAACATGACCACAAAAAATTTCTTACACTCACAACATTTTGTGGGGCCCGCAGCAAAAAAAAAAAAAAAACTCCGGCACGCAAAACGAATTTCTATAACATAACACAATCACTTTTCCTACGACATAACTCTTATAAAACCCAAAGTAAAAATATCGTATGAATTTTCCTTTAATAAATCCTGAAAAATTCGCTTTTGTTATTTTTCATGCAGATAATAATAATAATAATTATTATTATTTAAAAATGATACTTTACTTATGCAGCAGCACTTATCTAAATAGCTGCATCCAAACAGGGCCTTAAGCTGGTTTTTCCCGTTTCGACTGAGATCGTGAACGAAACGCAGAGAGGAGAAGCAGCCATGGGAGACGGCACTGCTACCACCGCCGGCAACCGCTCCAACAACAACAGCAACAAGCCAGAGTGGCTGCAACAGTATGATCTTATAGGGAAGATTGGGGAAGGCACCTACGGTCTCGTCTTCCTTGCTCGGATCAAGTCTTCCACCAATCGCGGAAAATCCATCGCCATCAAGAAATTCAAGCAATCTAAGGACGGCGATGGTGTCTCTCCCACCGCCATCCGTGAAATCATGGTATTTATTCTCTTTCTTCTTATTCTTTTTTTATTTTTTTGGTTTTTGTAAATCTTCTCTGCTTGGTTAACTGCGACTAAGGAAGTTGTTAAATTCGGAATCGAACTCACTTGAACTATTGGAATATTTTTGTTTTCATTTCAAATTTCCAATGAAATGCCTTTTTCTGTTGTTTTTTTTCTTTTTTATTAGTGAATGATGGTTAAGGTAGTGATGCTAATGCACTTGTTCGACTCTGGAAATTTAACTAGTTCTATGTTGTTCTAGTCATTGGAAACGTTGCGGAGGTTGCCTTTTATATTATTTTATTTTATTTTTTATTCTTTGATGCTTTGGATTGATTTCGAGCGATTTCATTTGATGCTGCAGTTACTGAGGGAGATAACACACGAGAATGTTGTGAAGCTTGTGAATGTTCACATCAATCATGTGGACATGTCTCTGTATCTAGCTTTCGATTATGCCGAACATGACCTTTATGTGAGTATATGATTGTAAAACATGTCCTTTGTCAAAATGTCATTCTACTTGGGCACTTGAGTTGAATTTTTCATTTTATTTTGTAATTTATCAAAATGTGTAGTTGCGGATATTAGCTATATAGTTTAGCTTTGTAATGCTTACTGTAGTTGTTATCATGAGCGCATGATAGCTATATATAATATCAGATATCTGGATTTTCAAAGGTTTTATATTTTTTATCTCGCATTTTGACATTCTCACTTAGTGAGGTGAGTTTTGCTTGTGATTGTTGCATCTTGTATTATACGCATATTATGGGCTTTTGCAATGGATTTTATGCTATTGTAATAGGTATAATTTCAGTGTTTTTGAAAATTTTGTGAATTGTCTATGGGACGAGACATATATAGGTAGCAAGGAATTGCTTGTTCTAGTTATTGAGTGTAAAGATTGCAATCTTGAATGGCAGGAAATAATTAGACATCATAGGGACAAAGTCAACCATTCCATTAATCAGTACACTGTTAAATCGATACTCTGGCAGTTGCTCAACGGACTAAACTATCTGCATGGGTGAGTGTTTTTTTGTAAAGTTAGCGATGATTCATTTTCTTTCCTTTCTTTATATGTTGACTTATATTATATTTTCGTGTAGTAATTGGATAATACATCGAGATTTAAAGCCATCAAATATATTGGTATGATTTTGGCCACCTTACCACTGTATATATAATTAGTCCTTTCACTAATATAAGTAAACATTTGGATTCAAATTAATTTGTCCCTTTTTGATTAATGCACTTGTTTCTTTAACGAACTTTCTATGAACAGGTTATGGGTGAAGGGGAGGAACATGGGATTGTTAAAATTGCTGACTTTGGACTTGCAAGGATATATCAAGCCCCTCTGAAGCCATTATCTGAGAATGGGGTACGAGCACCTTTTTCATTGTCATCCACGTGCATTGTATCTATCATCTGTGTATTTGAGAACTCTGCATGTATATTCTCTGACTAAATATGGTGTTCTTAGTATTTAAGAAGCCAAAATCTGGGTAAGCATAAGTTACCGGAAGTAGGAGTACATTAAAGGCTTATACCATCTCAGCTTTCTGCTATAAGCTGATGGATAGATACTGTTGTTCATATAAAGTTTAGCTTATTGAACTGGGTAGTCTGTTGGCAACCTTATGTTTTTTTATTCCCCACATGTTGAGTGATTAAACATGGATTGCTTGTTAGCATCTTTAACCTTCAGTTAGCTATGCACTCGTACCACATTTTAACTTTTCATATATTTGATGGTTTAGATTCCTGAATGTGTAAAATACCAACGTGCAGGTTGTTGTAACCATTTGGTATCGTGCACCTGAGTTGCTTCTTGGAGCAAAACATTATACCAGTGCTGTTGGTATCCTTCAATTTAAGTTTTGCTTTCTTATATATATATATATATATATATATATATATATATATATATATATATATATTCCTAATATTTTCCAGTCAAAGTGATTGCACGTATGTGCCAGTGTAATTTATGATTGACTTAAGATTTTTACTTGTTGGTTATTAATATCTCATGGGTATTTCTCAAGTCTTTTATCCTATATACTGTTTTCATGACAAGATTCTTGTTACTTTTGCTATCCCTGAAGTTGTTGACATATAATAAATAAATCACATCCCCCCCTTCCTCTTTAAACCCTAACTAGCGAGGGAAGGGATGAGGGCAATCCTTATACGCTGTATTACCTTTGCATATTTGTAAAAAGGCTATTTCCCGTATTTAAATGCGTGATGTTTCGGTCACAAGGGAGCAACTTTTTAACTATTCAGGCTCCGTCTTTTGACATGCTATAACTAAAATTTCAAATTTGAATTTGTCCACGTGGATGTTGGGGAGCATGGTACACATAATCCAAAGATAGACTTGTCAACTTTATATCATGGCTAAATGTGTCGGTATGATCTGATTCTATGATCTAATTCTAACATTGATCCAGTCATTTTTCCTTATATATAATTTAGATATGTGGGCTGTGGGATGCATTTTTGCTGAGTTGTTAACCTTGAAGCCATTATTTCAAGGTGCAGAAGTCAAAGCTACACCAAATCCCTTTCAGGTACTTGATGCTATTACTTACAGCTTTATGATTCTATAGTTGAATATCGTTGTTATAGATGTAGTCTCTATATGAGTATTACCTTGTCATTTTTGGATTTTGAATAATCCTTATTCCACTTGTGCAGCTCGATCAACTTGACAAGATATTCAAGGTTTTAGGTAATTTATTTGCTTACTATTTTTCTTTTTCCCTGCTGGGGGATGTTCATTCTCTTGATGATATTCCAGACCTACATCAGTGGACATTGTTACTGTGCCAGGCCATCCCACATTAGAAAAGTGGCCTTCCTTAGCAAATATTCCCCATTGGCAACAAGATATGCAACATATACAAGGACACAAATAGTAAGATCATTATTTAATGTGTTTATAAAAATATATGCAGGATAGACCTATTTCCATAGTTTGTGAATCTTTTGTTTTCTCCTTTCCTTGCCTGTTCTTCCTCGAAACTAATCATTTTTTTCATGAAATTAATGGATTGGTTCTTCTGCTGTTTGCAAACAGTGACAACACTAGCCTTTATAATGTTGTGCACCTACCTCCAAAAAGTGCTGCATATGACCTGTTGTCAAAGATGCTTGAGTAAGTTTTTCCTTCTAGGCTTTTAAGAAATATTTTGCTATGCCTACAAAAATATGCTGTATTTCCCCCACATTTCAGTGATGCAAAATTGAACCCAGGGTGGAGTGGTGCCCCCTTATATACTTGTGATTTGTAGTGGCACCCCTTATATACTTGTCATTTTTCTTACTTGTTACTTCTAACCTTGTCATCATCACCTATTGTTCCTGTTCTTGTTGCTTTATAGTTATGGTGCAAAAGTTCATCACCCTCAATCTATTCTAGCCCTACCCCTTTCTTTGTTGTTTGAACTTATTTAAGTTCTGGTGGTTACTATAATCAATTAGCAGAATTAATATGTGGCAATATCCCCATTTGATAAAGGTTGCGGGGTTAATGCTTTTCTTGTGAATTATTCAGCATCTGAGGCGCAAAAGAGTGTTTTTTCCTAGGGATTTGTTGATATCGAGAATGATTTCAAGGATCATCTCTACTACACTAAATAAGTAGAAGGATATCAATCACTGCATGATAAATTCTTATTCTCCAGAGTACAGGATTATCATGATTCTTTAAACTAGGGCTATTGGGCGAAATTTCATTCCGGGTTAATATCAAATTAGTAAAAATAAATAAATAAATAAATTACCAGAAGAACATTAAGATAAAATGGTCAGACTTAAACAAGAAACCCAAATGGGGTTGTTTCATACACGTGTGCAAAGCCACATGGATAGCATCTCCCCATAAAAAAATTTGTTCTGAGTGCCACATGGCAACATCTTGGGAAGACAATAGTCCACATGGTGTTTTATGTGACGGCACGTGAACTAGCATCTTCCCCAGTTGTATTTCATGAATGCTTGTTTGTAGCATTTGCATTTCTCATAATTAAATATCATTAGATGAAAGAATTTGACTTAATGAATTCTTGAATGGATGGTTGATTAATAGGCTTGTTTGAGCTTCCATTTGCTGTAATCACGCGTTCAGCCAAAGGAGGATTATAACTTCCTCTTGGAAAACATCCTCTTAAAGGTGGAGTGCACCTCTGTTGAGATATATAGTCTCACATTGGTTGAAGAGCAACTAATGTGGAGTTTATAAAGCCTTGGGCACTCCCACCCTTTGAGCTAGCTTTTGGGGTGGTGTATCCCAAGGTTTTTTACATGGTATCAGAGCTTGAGGTTCGATCCTCACCGCCCTCCACTTTAAAGTGGAAGCACAAAAAAAGGTAAACCAAAGATTGGGCCTGTTGCATAATCCACGCTTCAAGCCAAGAGGGCTCTTGCGTGAGGGGGCGTGTTGAGATATATAGTCCCACATTGGTTGAAGAGCAACTAATGTGGAGTTTATAAGGCCTTGGGCACTCCCACCCTTTGAGCTAGCTTTTGGGGTGGTGTATCCCAAGGTTCTTTATAACCTCAACTCAAACACGATGGGGGAAAAAATGACTTCCATATATGAAATAATCAATTAAAAGTTCAACTAGAACATAGTGCATTAAGTTTGTTGCAATTGTTTTTCCAATAAAAAGAATGAAATTGAATGGGTGGTACCTGTGTCAATTAATTAATCCATGAATGCATTTTAATGGTTAACGTAGGAGGATATATCCAAACATTGTGTCTAACCTCACCATTGGATTCAGCATGAAAATATTAACGTGTGTTCTTGGAGGGGAGGGGTTAAGTACCTGCCATGTGGCAGCTGCTTACTCTTACTTTTTCAAAATATGGAAGGCACTATTCCAAGTGGTGTCATGCAAATCAAATGTGAAATAGCGTTTTGCACATGTGGCCAGCCCACTTGTGCAAACAATTCCATTTTGGAATTTTTTTTTTCAAAAAGATAACTTTTGGTAATTTTTTTTTTTTTAATTATTATTTTGAATTTTTACCCATTCATTCCTCTTGCCTAATTCTATGAAAGAAAGAGTCACCTGAAAGGCTGAAACAATAAATCAACCAACTTTATTATGAGCAATCTAAGAAGTTTGATTTCCCCTTTTAACCATCATCAATAACTTATATTTAGTTCACTGCAAAGATGGTGGAATGGGAATAGGCTCATGGCTTGTTTTATGATAATATGGCTTGTGTATTTATGTGCAGATATGATCCTCGGAAGCGTATAACAGCAGCACAAGCTTTGGACCATGAGTAAGACTTCTTTATTTGTGAATGAAATCTACATTCCTAGCAATGAAAAGGATGATTTAACATTTATTTCGTTAATAATGGTTGTTGTTCTGCTTATAGAAATCTAGACAAGATTCCACATTTTTTCCTTGCATGTTTTATTTTCTTGATATGGCCTAGTTCTGAAGGTGTACTGAAAATGATGTGGTTACCATCTTAGTGTTGTGTTCAATATATTGTGATCAGAAGTAGCAAAAGTTGTTGAGTGTGAGCAAGCAGATTGTTGTAGTCATCATCATAATAAGTCCAGAAACTTTCCCTAAACTAATTTGTTTACTGAAAAAAGAGCAGTTAGGTTGTCCAGCTGCTCCTGAGTTAAAGAATTTCATGTGAATTTTTTTTTTTTTTTGAAGATATTCCATTCAGTTCATAACTTCGCGACTAGTCCGATTCAGAGCGAGTTTATTGTTTTTATCCACTTAGGTTTCAGTCGCAAAAAAAATCATTGTATGTATTTGACTTCCTTTTTGCCACTGGGTATAATATTCATTTTCACCACATCAATGCTGCAACCGTTAGTCAGTTCAGTGAGTATAGCTTGTCAACCAAGTATAGAACTTTATAATTTTCCTAGAAGTTGCCTGGCTCTTCAGTCAATTCCTCTGAGAGCTCTATTGGTCATGTCGGATATTCCCTGTCATGTGTTCAAATACTTAGTGTGCTGATTGTTTCATAATAACTAGTGACTTGCCTTCTTCATTTTTTTCATGTATGCTAAATTGTGAGAACTTGCAAAACGTTGCTGGACCCCTGATTTTGATGGTAATGGACATTTGATATTGATGCAGTTTTACTTCATCAATGTGACTCAGATATATGGTAGAGAAAGCTTAAAAATTGATTGTTGCCTTCGATGCAAAGATTCTTTAATTATGTTAGGCACTGTACCTTCATGTTATATAGATACACGCACACATGTGTGTGTGTTTGTTTGTCCATCTTTGTTGGTTATGTGATCAGTTCTCTTGCATCTTTCAACTATTAATTTTTAAGCATCCTTATGCTTTGTTTGCCAGGTATTTCAAAATTGAACCACTACCTGGGCGGAAGTAAGGCCTTTTTCTTCCTTTCTCCTCTTGCTATTCTGTTTAGGTCTTTCCCTTAATCTTTCATTGGATAAAACCTTTTCCTAGCATTGTTGGCTACTTTTCATTGATTTAAAGATTTGATTGCAAGATTTATAAATAAATAATATTCACATAGTTTCCATGTTATCTCTCTCTCTCTCTCTCTCTCTCTCTCTCTATATATATATATATATATATATATATATATATATATATATATATATATATATATATATATCATGCAACAGAGACAAAATAGTGGGGTCTACTATTTTTTCTTCTTTTTCGTTTTTTGAAAAAGTAGTGGACCCCACTATCTTGTCTCTGTTGCATGAGATAATTATCTCATGCAACATGAGATTAATAGATCTCATATATATATATATATATATATATAGGGAAATCATTTTCTCATGTTGTTGAAGATTATTTTCTTATGTTGTGAGACATCGAAATTCGTGTTTTCTTCTTTTTATTTTTTATTTTCTTAACAAGTGGTGGGACCTATCACTTTTTGTGTCTATAGCATGAGAGATGTTATCTCATGTCAAATGAGAAAAGAGAAACCCATATATATATATATACCAGTTTAAAACAACGAATCTTACATTCAATCTTTACCGTTGATCAACTTGTATCTAATAATTACAATTTAATAAGTTTTGCCCATTAATTGATTATTGATCTCCAATAAATTATATCTAATAGATATAAATAGATCAATAGCTATGATTGATTGTAAGATTTGTCATTCTCACATTTCTATGAGTTGATTCTTTTCCATATATATATATATATATATATAGGTTTAATGTTTCTCATGTTGTAGGAGATAAATTTACTTCCTACACCATAAAAATGTGTGGGACCCATGTTTTACAACATGAGAAACAATAAATCCTATATGTGTGTGTGTATTGGTCTTCATTAAGCATGTATTCCACCATGGTCTATTTTATTTAACTAGAAATGTCTGTAAAATCAATGCTCAGTGCACTTGTACCCTGCCAACCTGGAGAGTCATTTGTGAATTATCCCACACGTCCAGTGGACACAACGACAGATTTTGACGGGACCACCAACATGCAACCTTCACAGCTGGTATGCAATGATAGTTAGAAATCCTGTTGAAACTGAAGTCTCGAATATTTAAAATTTTCATTGAGCAGGGCATATCAGAACTAAAGGATATGATTCAACTTTGTCCTTGAATCGTCTTTTTGTGGAAGATATTTATATTCTCTGAGAGTATTAGAGTAATGCTCTCAATAGTTTAGCAACTGTCGTGCAGATCTAATTTAATAATATATCATGTTTAACCCAAACAGCGTAGTACTCCCCCAAAGTACATAAAATCTCTCCTTTTTGTGGAGTCATATTATGGGTTTAAAATAGAGAGAGCAGTGACTATTAGAGAAATGAAGGATGATGTGCAACTTTAGATGGTTAAGGTTGTACTTGGAATTGAAATAGTAGTGCACATTTAGACAAGTGAAGAACTATTTCCATCTTTTTTATGTATAAAGTGTTCTCTTGAACCCTGATATACATACAGTTCGACTTTGGGTTCAGCCCCTTTACATGGTGGGTGAAATAGTGAATTGCGTCCTCTCTATAAAGCTCAATATTGCCACATCCGTCTAAACAATATTTGCATGAAAGTTTGGTGTATTAACATATAGACGATAACATACAGAGAAATTGTAGATGATATGGATGTCCGTTAGGTGATATAGATGGATTTGTAAATTTTAGTGAATTAAGGTTAATCAGGGTTACTCTCCTCCTTGCACTTCTATGAAAATCTTCCTATCACCTTCCAACAAAATAATAACCTAGCCGTAGCATATCTTTTTGCCTCCAAGTTTATAGAAGAAAATGAACCTTTGCTGATGTAACTGCATGTGATGTTCAAGGAGAGGATAAAACGAATTACCTTGGCTGACCCATGTTTTTTGACCATTTTATAAAACTTTAAGGGGATTCAATTCGGAAAATATATCGGTAATAATTGTTATTAATAAGGTTCAGTTACATTGTGCCTTGAGATTATGAACATTTTCAACGATTTTGCTATATTTAATAGGATTTGGTTACTTAACTGTGTATGAATAATATACCGAGTGGCTTCTGTCAATATATACTATGGTTCCTTACTGAAATTTTTGTTTCATGGTTATTGGTAAATATTGGTTTTGAATTTACATACTTGCACATAACTAAGCACATACATGCGTAAACATTTTCCACTTCATGCTTTTGAATGTGCATATTTCTTAATCTCGAGTTAGGCATCTGGAGCTGTAGTTTCTGGCAACATCCCTGGTGGTCATGTGTCAAATAGATCTGTCCCACGGCCAGTGAATGTTGTTGGCATGCAAAGAATGCCTCATCAAGCAATGCAAGCTTATAATCTCACGTCTCAGGCAGGGATGGGTGGTGGAACGAACCCTGGTGGCATTCCAATGCAACGAGGTGTTCCACAGCAGCAACAGGTTTGGTATTTATTGGAAAAGGAGGCAGAGGTTTAACTTTTTGTTCCCTTTCTAAGGTGAATGTCATATTCTTTTTTTTTTTTCAACAGTTAAGAAGAAAAGACCAAATGGGGATGCCAGGATACCCTCCACAGCAGAAGTCAAGACGTATATAAGGTGAATCCTGTTGTTCCACAGCGTATTGGTATATAAGGTAAATACAGGTGTTCCACTTGGTTATGATGGTGGTGGCTGTCATAGAGATAAACTAGGCATTTCATAAAATTGGGAGAATTCCTTTAATGTGGGCAATCAGGTGTCACTGATTTTCTTATGTTTTGTGTGAGCGATTTTAATGGCAATTGGGATTCATGAGAGTTCCATGTGAAAATTTTAATGAAACATGACATTCTTATATTATCGTACTATGATTCTTGCAAAGTATTTGAGAAACTGCAAATTAAGCATCGCCTGATTCACTTCTTCAAGAGTCACTTGTGGTATGTGAGTTCTGGCGAACAGCAAATTGTTTTCCTGTCAAATTTTTCGACCTTTTGGCATACTTGAACTAGTAGTTAGATGACTCTTCTATATTTGCAATAAAGCTGAATTACCATGTCTTATGGTTAGGTTGTGCTCTTAGAGATCAAGTGAAGATAGATTTGGGGTCAACACTATTGAACTTGAGCTCATTCAGGAAAATTCATGACCCCGAAGCTCCGATGGTTTGCCTTCATGCTTGGGGACCTCACTCTTTCTAATTGCAGTCAAAGATTTGTTGCATTGGGCACAGGAATCTGGATGCTATAATATGAACTATACTGCTGGAGCACCAATGAAGCCCTTGGAAGGGAACAAACATGGGAAATGGTTGAGCTACTGGAGACACATGTATATCTCGCTTATACCTGTACATTTTTCTTGTATTCTTACAGATGTTAGGCAAGATCAAATGTTAGATATCATATAGTTTTTCGCCAAAATCGAACTTTTAGAGATTAACTGATTATATGTAACCATGTATTCATTGTAGAGTATTGCCTCAATCGAAAGGAATTGTTGTGTTTCGTGGAATAAGATTACTTTCGGGTATTGACTAATTTTATTTTAAACATATTACTATATATGTATTTATTAATTATTTGAAGCCTGTTTCCTTCTATAGTTCTGTAAGGCTTCGTTCAGAAATGAAACGGCCCTCTTTTCTGGGCGTAACCCCTGATTAACCGACAGGTATTCAAGAGTGTCTTTTCTGTCAGAAACATGTCAGCTTCGAGTTTAAGAGCTGAACTAGTGGAAGCAGATATGAAAAGCTGCAATGTAGAATTGAACTGGCGATTTCTTTTCTTAAGCATAGACAGTCTCTGGACTCTGGGGACACTTCATGGCCTTTTTACCTAAATATAAAACAAAAATAAAAAATTACCGAATTATAGGGACATAGACACTATTAATCATTTATTGAAATCCATAATTTATTTTAGATTTTTTCTTAAAATATTATGATTATTGGACTATGATTTTGATTTTTTTTTTAATTAATCAATATAGCCCATTATTGTTTTATTTTCACCCGATCTGAAATGTGAGAAATAAGTTTATCTTTCAATAGACAAAATTTTAGGTAACTTGAAATCACGAGACTTTGTCAGATATTTGAATTTTTTGGGCGAATAGAAAAAAAAAATCATCAAATTATATAATAAAATTGATGTTTTTAAATTTCCCGAAATTGAAATATCATGTTAGATAAATAAGAATTATTCACGGTGTTAAGTATTATTTTATTTAATAAATAATACTTAAACACGGATTGAAAGTGTTATTTATTTTAGGAAACAATATTTACCCTTTTAAAGTACGTAACGTTATGTCGTTTGAAGTGATACATGTAACTCCCTGTCTGCAGCCGGTTAATTAACATTCATATGATAGTAAGCGCAACATACTCAACTTAATTAATGCAAAAGCTAACTAATGTATTTTTTTCTCTTTTCCTTATGTATTGCAAACATTTTCACTTCCATGGCCAAAATAAAACGGACCATATTTCCTCTGTATTTTGAACCACTGGGGATAATTTCCACTGAAAATTTCAACCTGATTGACAGTTTAATATAATTATGGCATACCACAACATAGATAAAACGTATTGTCCAGCCATCCATGACCTACACTATCTCATAATCATACTGTCTCAAAATAATGTCCATGATGTTTGATATGCATTCAGTATATAGGGAAATCTAAGCCAAAAAGAGAAAGAATGTTGATTAATCTTAAGCAAAAAGGGCAAATATTACTGATAATCTGTTAAAATCTCAATCAGAGATTGCATATTGACTTTGTGTTGATTTCGTAGGAAAAACAGACAAACTGGAGCTAAAAAGGAAATTGCTAAACTGAAGGCCCACGCTGAGAGCGTGGGTATGACGCTGTACGCGTGAGAAGACAATTTCAGACAGAGGCATCCACGCTACTAGCGTGGGACTCACGCTAGTAGCGTCAGAAATCAAATTCAGGCAGAAGCTACCACGCTACTAGCATGGAACTGACGCTAGTAGCGCCAGCCTTTTCACAAACCCACGCTTGAAGCGTGGCAACCACGCTAGTTGCGTGGAGCTCCAGGATTCTTAACAAAAATCCCACGCTCACAGCGTGGGAACCACACTAGTGGTGTGGGAGGTGCGTCAATCAGCATTAAATTCCTTTTAAATCAGAGACAAGATTGCACTGAGATTGCGACAAGGATTCGATCAAGATTCTACACAAGGTCAAAGACTCTATAAATAGAGACTCAAACCTCAAGAAAAAAAAAGAACTTTTGCACAGAGAGGAAGACGGAGGCAGAACGCAGAGCAAGCTTCTTCTCCAATTTTCTGGTTTTATTATTTTGTTTTATGAATTCCTTTGAATATTTTGAATTGTCAGACATGAATATGTCTGGCTAGTTTTTTTATTATTGTGGTAAGGGTCACAACCCTTGATGTGAACCCCTTGTAGTTTGGTTAAATTTATTTTTAATTATTTCAATTAATTTATTTTATCTTGTTCTTCATCTATAATTCTTTTAGAATTGATCACTCTATTAGGATTGCGAGGGTTAGGGTTTTCAATAGGAATATTGGGATTCTAGTTCCTGACAAAGGGTAAAATAACAGTTCATGTATGCACTAGGGATAGGCTACATGAACTGCAAACGTGGAAAATTCACTGGATTAAAGGATTAACTTGAAAAAGGATTTCTAAGGGATTAGGATTCTAATAGGGTTAATAAAGTTAAGATCACTAAGGGATTAGGGCTTAATTAATTAATTAAAAGATGGTGAATTGTTTGATCAATTGGATAATTAAATGTAAATATTAATTAATATTACAAGGTGGGGATCAGAAAAGTGTTGGCGTCCTTTACTGCAATAGCTTTTTAATTATTTTTCTCAAATCTTAATCTTTTATTCTCAAAGTTTTCAAATTATTTTCTGAATTGTTCACAAGTCTTGAATAGTTCACAATTTTTACAAACACAATTACTCTCAAACCAACTTTTATTCATCCAACAAGAAAGGAATAGTTAAAATAATTTTGGTGCCTCAATCCTCGTGGAGACGATACTCTACTTACCATTTTATTACTTGGTACGATCGGTGCACTTGCCGATTTTATGCAACAGGTTTTTGGCGCCATTGCCGGGGATTGACTACGCCTAATTTATTTTTAACTTTTGAATTTCTTGATTGGATTCTGTTTTGTTACTAATCTTTTTGCTGTAGTTTATGCGAGGTAAAGTAGATCGAGATTCTTCACAGTGTGATCCAGAAATCGAGAAAACTGCAAAGGAAAATTGGAAACAAGCCAAGCACAGAAAGCAAGAAGAATCTTCAGGTTCAAAGCCGCACAAAGAACCAGTGGTGGCAGCTAATAATCAACCTCCGCCTCCTCCACCACCTGCAGCAGAGTTGATGGAGTCAATTATGGCTCCTATGTTCACAAGGCCGAACTCTAGTGTCGTCCGGCCACAGATAGAGGCCAACAATTTCGACATTAACCCGTCTCTGATTAACCTGGTGGAGAAGAACCCTTTCGGCGGAGAGGATTACGAAGATCCTCACGACTTCATGGACAGATTTCTGAGAATTTGTGACACTACCAAGCATCATGGAGTGTCTGACGATGCCATCAGACTCAGGCTGTTTCCCTTTGCTTTGACCGGAAAATCCCTCAAATGGCTAGACTGACAAGCCCCTAACAGTATCCGAACATGGGACGATCTAGCAGCTAAATTCTTTGCTGAGCATTTTTCGCGGGAAAAGTACAACAAGTTGGTGAACGAGATCACCAACTTCATTCAGCAACCGGGAGAGACTCTTTGTGCAGCCTGGACCCGATTCCAGGAGTTGATCAGGAAATGCCCTCAGTATGACTTTCCAGACGAGAAGAAGGTCAGAGTCTTCTATAATGGGATGACACCGGATACCAGGATGATTGTCAATGGTGCAGCCGGTGGAACCATAGGAAGGAAGACAACAGCTGAAATCCTGGAGCTGATTGATTATTTGGCACGGAACGATAATGCTTCAACGACAGTCCATCCAGTTCAGCCAGCTCAAACCAAGAAGGGAATTTTACAACTGGGGAACAATGATGCGTCATTAGCTGAGCAAAAGATGATCTCACAACAGCTAGCCAGTCTGAACGCCAAGCTAGATAGAAAGAAAATCTCATCTAAAGTTAATATATTCGAGTGTGAGTACTGCAAAGAGCCACATAAGACTAATGAGTGCCCTACATTCAATGGAGCTGAACCATTCCAAGTCAATGGAGTGTGGTATGATCCAAGGCCACCACAGGATACCCAAAGTTACCAGAGAAATTAGAATGGAGGCCAAGGGAACAACTTTCAAAGGAGGAATCAAGGGAGCGACTTGGATTATAAATCCAACAACTATCTGCAACCTCCTCCTCTGCCACAAAAAGAGCCATCCGAATTGGAGAAAGCGATGATACAATTAGCAAAAACTACTAATGAGCATATAAATGAGACCAGAGCCTACCACAAGAACCAGGATGCTTCCATCCGAAACTTGGAGAGTCAAATAGGCCAGTTGTCTAGGCAGTTGGCTGAAAGAGCTCAAGGACAGTTCCCAGGAGATACAATTGTGAATCCAAAGGCAGATTGCAAGTCCATTATGACTAGGAGTGGAATTGTAATCACTCCTGAAGAAAAGCCAAAATCGGTTCAGCATGAGAAAGAAGAAGAAGCACCTGCCAGTGAAAAAGAAGAACCTGCAAGGCAAGACAAAGAAGAAGCAAAGAAGATAGCTATGGAAGCTCCAAAGAAACCGATGGATTTTTCTCGTTTTGAGAAACCTCCTTATCCTATGAAGCTCAAGCAACAAGCCCAGAAGCAACAATATGCCAGGTTCTTAGATATATTTAAAAATTTACAAATTAATATTCCTTTTGCTGAGGCTTTAGCTAACATGCCTAATTATGCTAAATTCATGAAAGATTTAATGTCTAGAAAGCATAAGTTGCTGGATTGTGAGACAGTAGCACTTACTGAAGAGTGCAGTGCCATCATACAGAAGAAGTTCCCACCAAAGCTTCAAGATCCTGGGAGTTTCAACATCCCAATTGCGGTAGGCAACACTAATGTTGGCCGGGCACTATGTGATCTTGGAGCAAGCATCAACTTGATGCCATTGTCAATATGCAAGTCATTGGGAATTACTGAGTTGAAGCCAACCAAGGTCTCTCTTCAGCTTGCTGACCGTTCTTTGAGGAGACCTAATGGAATCATAGAAGATGTTCTTGTTAAAGTTGACAAGTTCATCTTCCCTGCTGATTTCATCGTGCTAGACATGGAGGAAGAGAGTGAAATGCCCCTTCTGTTGGGTAGACCGTTCTTGGCTACAGCTCGAGCTATGATTGATGTAGAACAAGGAAAGCTCGAGTTGAGGATGAATGATGAGAAAATCATTATCAATGTTTTCGATGCTATGAAGAATCCCTCTGATCATAGTGATTGTTTCAAACTTGAAGAGCTTGAAGAAGAGTTGAAGGCTCTAGATGAAGCTGCTCCAGAAAAAGAG